ACCTTGAGTCCCCAGCCTTGCTACTCTGTTTCATCTGCATCATTTTGTGGAGGAGGGGAAAAAAAAATACTGGCAGCAGAAGATGCACTAATGGTGCCAAGAACCTTCATCATACAATCATGCAGATGGGGAACCTTAAAGAACCAGGAGTGATGCGAGGTGCACAGGACATGGTCCTCTAGGCAGCCACCCACACAAAACCTCCCCAGGTCTGGATACAAGAGATGGAAACTCCCAGAAAGCTGCTCCTCTGCAGCTCTCAGTGGCCTCAAAGGGGCCTCTAATGACCATCAACCTGACTCGGTTCTCAGATGGCAAAAGCAGCACACAACACACACAAGAAATGAACACAGGAAAAAATAAAATCACCTGCTTAACACAGCACTTGAAACTCATCCACACTCTTGAGACTACCTGCACCTGGGTTCATTTTTCCTTGCTGCTCAGGGGCTCTGTACTGGTTGAAGGAGGCAGAGATCTTGACAGGTCCTCCCTCACTTTCAAGGCTTGCACAGGTGACTAAGAGCTTTTCTTCCTGGGGCCTTCATAAAATTCAGAGAATCTTGAACTGATGCAAGCTTTATATCCAGCATCTCCTGGCTAAGCTCTGCTCAACTCTCCAGCATTTTCTCCTTGAGAAGAACAAGAGCTCCCACATGCTCTGGCACAGGTGGGAAGCCTCTTGCTTTTGATGAAACATTTTAGCCCCCATACTGGCAAAATGAGAAGAAGAAATATATTCCTCCTAAGGTGGCAGCTCATACACACACATGCTGTGACTTTTCTAGACAGATGCGGGTAGGAAGACCCATTACAAAATGGCATTTGAGTAACTCGAGAGCAGTATTGCTCCTGTCACTACTGCAGCGAGCGCTGTTCCCATGATGCCAGAGAGATATAAAGAATTAACAGAATTACAGGAAACGTGCAGGTTTGCTCTCTTCCTCCTCTTGAAGGCAGTGACAGTTATTATCTGTTTAAAATACTCCTCTACACTAATCACATACGGTTCTGACAGCAGACCACCTATTTTCAGGGAGACAATGGAAAGTACTGGGCTGTGACTAAAGCTTTTGAAATTTAGTTTCCTTAAATGTTGAAGTGAAAAGTAACTGGAAAAAAATGTAGAGACCCTCTGATTTATTTTCTCCAAGTAATTACATTATTTGAAATCATGCAACTGTCAAACTGTAATTTTACTGCCTGAAGACAACAGCAGAACTGCTGCAAATGGCCTATTTTCCAATTTAGTATAAAATGGGAACTGCATAAACTGAGCTTCTTGCAGATAAACTTCAAACAGCAATCAGTTTATAGTAAGTGACTCTTAGCTCCTTTCACATTAAATTACCTAGGAACGCAAGAAGATATTTCTTAACCTACTACCTGGAGTTATGCATTTATACCTAACCAGTAAGTGAAGTACCAGAGGAAGCAGTTACTCCAGTTATATGCAACGCACTATGGTGCCATCAGAACCAGCTTATAAAAGTGGCCCCAATATTGCTTGTGAACATTCACCTTTTTAAAAAACACCATTTTTAACATTACTACAATCAGCTCTCCAAGGCCAGAGTTGCTCAGAAATGCTTTGATTATTTGCACAGTTCATGAATCAGTCAGTGACCTGTCTCCAGCTGTAGCTCTTTACAGATTGCAGAAGACACAGCTTGACTGCTGGAACCAAAGAGGCAATTAGACATAGATCCATTTCTTTGATTTTTAAAAAACAATCACCTGGGCTAACATTATCAAAGTCAAAAGAAGCATTTGAGAGAAATGCTGGTAGGGGAGATCTATCTTATGCAGGCAGATGATACTCTTTAAGAACTACTACTTCGTACTGAAGCACTTTTGAGTTGTAAATTGGAACTATTGAGGAAGAAAAACAAGGTATCAGAGCAGTAGCGGCATTTTTATTTCTTATAGGTACTTAAACAGCTGGTGCAATTCTCCAGTTCTATATCCTCAGTGAAATGAAAGTCTGAGAAGAGTATGTAATTAAAACCACCGACTTGCTCTCCACCTGGAAGAGAATAGAAGCAGGAGAAGAACGAGCTATTCAGGCAGCCTGCGCAAATGCCTAGAATAACATCAGCAGCCCTCTGCTTTCTGGTTGCTCTCATCTGGAGAGCAAAAAAATGCACTAAGATGATGTAGAAAAAGAGGAAAGGAGACCAACTAAATGAACTCTTGCTGCTTGCTTAGAACTAACTGTAAAGTATAAGTTTACACTGAAAGACCAGTGTGCATCTGTTTACACACTGTGCAGTTTGGAGCCACCTGCTACCAGGGATTATCTGAGAATTTAGGAGTGTTTCTACAGCTAAAACATCACAATTGCATCAACTGTGAGAAAGTGTGTACGTGTATACATACGCTTTAAAAATAACCACGCTTTTCCAAGGTTAAATTGCCACCTTCTGTATAAGCAGATTAAAAATGAAACTATGACAGTAATTTCAGAGATGGCGTATTCTTCAGTGTCTAGGGGTTCACAGACTGCATGGTCCATGGAAAACCCTAACAGGTAAGAGGGAGTATATTTTAAGAGGCGCATTTAGTAACACAAAGAAGTCACATATGAGAAGATACTGAGTGCAATAAAACACAATAAAAGACTCATTAAAAAAAAAGCTCTATGCTGTCAAAATATACTAGAGGAAAACTTTTACAAAGCGCCTAGGAAAGGTTTAAACTTTCTTTAAAAAGACATAATTTAAATGCCTCTACAAGTTGCTATCTTTTTTATTGTAAAGCAAATGGTAAAAATGTCATAACAGTTTATTTTGAAGAATTTTCATTCAAGATCTCTGCTGCCACCGCTAGGATAGAAAAGATGAGGCACAATCTTGGCTGTTGCTTCTAAAACTTCATCTTACTAAAAGATTAAACAGTTAATATACAACAACTTATAACAGCAAGGCAGATCGTGGTTTTTTTATTTTTATTTTTTATTTGAACAGTTTTATTAACCTGCTCAGGGTGGCTATGTTAGTAAGGACTATGAATTTTGCCATGGACATCCAACTAGAATATTCATTTGAGAACAGTGGTATAAGAGTGCTTTACTGGATGAATTTGGTACTGTTCCTCCACAAAAACAGGCTGCCTTCTATTATCAGTGAGTGCAAAATAAAACACCAATTTTAAACCCATCACTGGACAAGACCAGACAGCAGCTGTTGTGCTACTGTGCAAGTGCAAACCTTTGCCAACTTGTGGCAAGGTCCGTCTTCTCCAAACGGCAGCATTAAGCATTTGAAACTAAAATCAGGAAAGCTGGATCAGTGGATGAGCATGGAGTGTTAAGAGATGTGTCATTTGTTTTGCACGGCTCTCATTTCCTATAGCTCCCTCACACACTGTAATCCAAAGGCACACAGTCAATAGACACCAATTACAGAATGCAGCTAATAAATGCTAACAAATAGCTTGACTGTGTGGCTTCGCTACAGATAAGCCAGCACAATTCCATATGTTCCAGCTCAAAATTGTAGGCAGCCTGGAATCTAAGCACTTGGACACTAACCAAGCATCCACAAAACCCATAGGGAGGCATGCGTGAAGTTTTAGGGATGACATTCGGCTGAAGAATTGGTACAGAGCCTGTCAGGAATTTGGCTCGGACAGAGACCCACCCTCCAATTTTTATTAATACTTATTTCAAAGAGCACACTGGAATGAGGGATCAGATCTACACAGAACAGACTCACTGCAGAAGACATTCATTGCTAGTTGCTATCTGCTTACATTTTATATCCAAAGCAAAACACCGTTCTGGGAATAGCGCTTGCAGCTCTTCAACAACCCCAACAGCTATTTCTGCCAAACTTCTTTGTAAAGCTCCTTTTGTGCTGCAGCATCAATGTATTCATTACATTCCTACAGAGACTCAGCTGCAAAAAATCAGGATCAAGAAACTGCCCTCCTTTCAGGTTATGCCATACCAAACCCAATATTGACAACTTTTTACACATATTTAAAATAGACTCTCTCAAAACAAAACTGTAAAACTTGTAAGATTTTTCTAATGCTATAAAATGTGATCTTTCATTGTGCTGCTTCTATGCCCACGGGGAGCAGCTAAGCCTGAGGCAGATGTTGAGGTGAGCTGTCATCCACCCATTTCATTTTCCTGAAAAATCAGGCAGATCATGAAGAGATTTTACAGATAGACAACTAGAAGCCAAAGATCTTATTCACGGTCCCAAAAAGGAGCCCAAGTATTTGGTTAACTCCAGGAACTACAATTCTGAATTTGTTAGCTCTGTTCTACTAAGGGGCTGGTTTCTAAAGCCGTTCTGCAATTACAGTGCCAGACTTGACACCAGCTTTAAAAGGGGCAAAATTTCACTCACCTTTTAGAGACGTGGGCAAAATGACATTTGGGACAAAATAAAGGGCAGAGGCACTTAGATCCTCACTGAAATTGCTAAAGCGGCCAAGTGGGCACTGCCTGTACAACACCTAAATGCAGGCTCGTGACTGCAAGCATCAAGAATGAAAAGGATGAAGACAGCCCCATACCTACATCCTAGCTCTATGCTCTGGACAGCATTGCTCCCCAAATGCATCCCGTCCTTTTACTTCTCTAAGCTCCTTTGCTTCAGAGAGCCTATTGCCAGCAATACCAACAGAAGTTACAAGGGTCATGAATTAGTTTTTTCACCTCACATCCTGCTCTTTGTTGACAGGGCAAAAAAACCTACCATTAAAACAGAGCACCCTCACTAGCAAGGACTTTCCAGGCTCACATACAGTCTCTACTCTGCATAACCTCCGATTAAAGCATCGTTTGGCAGGTACACCAAAACTGGCAAAGTGTTTTATAATTCATTAGCATTGCACTTGTCACTAATACTGCCACCAACACTGGTGGAAAGACACCACTGAAAGATAAAAACCCAGTTGCTTCCAAGGCATCTATCTCTTTGCAAGGCCATAGTATTTTAAAAGATATATCTAGTTTCATGTACATATCTAAAAGGAACTGGTACCTTTAATGTTCTAGTTGGAGCCCATCCAGTGCCATCAATTGAGTGTTCTCTCAATAAACTGTAAAAAAGACACACGTATTATACAGTGCAACTGCTAGGTAAATAAACAATCAGAAGTTTCTCAGAAAACAAGAAAGTTATTGCAATGTAAGAGCTACAGAACACTTGCACTATATATCGTCCCAAGATATTAAGAAAGCAAAGAAGTCTGTATATCCTTGATCTATATTCCTCCTACAGCATTATAGAGCTAGATGAGCTCAGCTTTGTCAAAAAACAAAACAAAAACAAAAATTACTTTCAGTGTAGTAAGTGTGGCCACAATCCTTATAACAGTCCCAATACTGAGCTTTGCTTTTCCCTTGAGCACACAGATGCACCTGGACTCCAGTTTAGGACATACTCGTCTCCGGTAAAGAGACGGGTCTTGCAAAACGCCACAGCGTCCCACCACTTTTGGTATATCCTGCTTAAAAGATCAAAATATTCTGTGTGCAAGAGCGGGTTAAGTCTTACAGACAAACTCAAAACCATCAACAAGTGGAAATCAGTAAGTCTTAAAGCACAAATGAAGAGCATGCACTGTGTAAGATAGACTACTTGCAGGAGGAAAGATTCTTATAAACTGTAGGCAAATGCTTCTGAATGTAGAGTATAAACAGTTAGGATAGACTTCCTATATAGCCACCCACTGTAGAAATTTTGTATACTCTAAGGCATACCAAGCCCAGTGAAGCAGTTAACCCATTTACATGCTGAAAAACAGGAAAAAAAAAAAAAAATGAAGTGAATCAAGTTGGCTAGTCATTTCCGGGCCTTAAAGATCAAAACATTAGCAGTTATGAGAGTCAAAGTTACTGGAAACCAGAGCATGATTGAGAAATGAGAACTCTCACTCATTCAGGCAAACAAAAGTAATAATCAGAAAGGAAAACAGTGTAAAAACTCCTTTAAACATCATTTCACAAGCTCTTCCTCCTCTGTCAAAAAATTATCTAAGACAGAAAACTCACATCGTAAAGGGGGGAGGCAGCAAAATGTATCACGAAAAGGGACTTTTACGACTAAAATAAGGTTAAAGGAAAATTTTCTTAAACTACTAGCTTTTGCCAACTTTCAGGATGAGATTAACTCTTTTTTAAACTACAGATGACTGAACCATAGCCATCTAAGTATTTATTCAATACGCAAGGTTTTCAAATTCAAGGAAAACTGGTGATTAGGACTATCCCACCTTGCCTGCACAGAGGCCAGAGAGTTAACCTGCAATGAAGTGCTTTATGCTTCCTTCAGAACATAGTAACAACAATACAGGGCACAATAAATCCTTTTTAACTGTGATGCTCATTTCTGTGCCTTTAGAAAGAAAATATCAAACTACCACTAGCGCAGCCCAAAACTAATTTCAAGAACATTAAAAACAGGATATTGTGGCTATGGCTTTTGTTCATAGCAAAAAAGTAAAAGCAAGAATGGTGCAGACCAAGAAAGCCAGGATTTTGTGGTTTTGTGCAAGTAGTGAATTATAATTTTAACTTCATTTCAGTACGTCTCCCCTTCAAAACATGTTGTTACGTTAGCTACCGGTCCATCTCTTGGCCTGTTCATACAAGAGCCAGGAATAAGTTAACACAGACCCCCAAAACACACAAAAAAGCATAAAAATATCCACTGAGAGAGCTCAAAGTGCCTGAGCATAGCAGCTAAGCCTCATTAACACCCTTCAAGCTTCCCAAAGGCTCAGAGCTCTCTAGGCAAATCTCCAGCTAGGGAAGATTGGCAACCAGGACCTGACACATTCGTTCCCCTCCGACAGCTCCAGCAACCAAGCAATGAAGATAAATAAGCATCCCTTTTTCTACTATTACTGCTTTACTGATATAATTCATTTCCAGGAAGCACCCTCGTTCTCCCTTCAGATGGGAAGGATCATCATGCCCCTTATCAACACCTTTGCCCTGCACTGGGTGTCTAGAGAAAGAGCATCTCTCCTTCTGCCTGGGAATGACCCAGATAGAGCAGCCAGACTGTATGGAGGCTTCAAAATACGAGAAATTACATGACAAACTGGCACCTGCATACCTGCTCAAAGGCCTGTCCTCTGGGGACACGCTGCCATCGAGCTGAGCTACGGGGACATCTGAATGGCAAACATGCTTTTCCCCCTCCTTAATGCTTTAAGAGGCTTCCTTTGACGAGCTCCCAGATCTGCCACAAAAGCCATCTGTTCTGCAAGGGTTTTTGAGATACCTGATGGATGGGAAAACCTGTTTACTTGCACTGAGTATGCTAAAATCGCCAAGACTTTGCTATATTGTATAAGTGTGCCAGGAACCTTATCTACTGTTTAGATTAAACAAGCCTTCAGACGCTTCCCTTGCGATGCTTGAGACTGATTTTGCATCCACAAAGAGAAGGCTGAGCCAATTCTGCAACACTGGGGACACAAAGCTAGGGAGTAACTGCTTCGCTGAGGAAGAAATGACAAGGCCAACGGGAGGGTAAGAGCTGTGGCACAAACAGCAGTTTATCAAGCAGGTAACTTGACGAAAAAATAAGGAGGGACACAACAAAGAATATTCCCATTTGCTTTGAGTGAGGAATTCACAAGTCAAACGCATCCTCGATTGCGGAATGACTTGAACAGACAACCACACCTTCATGTCTGGCATTTATATCCCTAAAAAGACCTCCCAAAACAAAATGTGACTTCCAACCACTCTGATTTCTTATGAGAAGATGGTGAAATTGCTATTTCTGGATGTATAGTAACCAAAACAGCCACTGATATAACCAGCCAGCTGTTTAGTCATTAGTTTCCAGTTATTTCATGACTTAATTCCTGAATTTCTTCAAAGCCTCCTCACCTTTAAATACATTTCTAAGAGAGCTTTCCAAACTTCTACTGAAGCGGGAACTGAATGGTCCTGACAAGTTTAAGACCTTCTGGAGCTCAAATTGACATGCTTTACAGCTTAAGGGAATAAAAAAATTGTTGTAAGAGGGCGATCAGTCCCAGAGAAAATCCACTTTAAACATCTCAGATGGACACATTTATCAACATAAAATGTCAGTTCCAACAATACACTTTTGTCTTCCTTTTGCCAGTAGAAAATATCATTGAAGGTAAGTGAGTTAAAAGGCTATAAATCTACATTTGAACCCCTCCATTGGCAGGGACAATTCTGAGGGCTTCTCTTCCTCCTCCAGCTGCTCACATCTTCTCTTTCTCATCCACCTTCCTGATCTGGCAGTGTCAATGCAACATGAAAACACTATCCTAACAGCTTGTGCAGAAGAAATTAAATGAG